TTGTTTTTCAGAGTCCATAGTCTCTCATGGCTCATCTCCCCCTCCAATTTCCCTCAACTCCCTTCTCCTCTCCATCTCCCCATGTCCTCCGTGTTATTTCTTATGCTCCACAAATAAGTGAAACCATATGATAATTGACTCTCTCTGCTTGACTTATTTCACTCAGCATAATCTCTTCCAGTCCCGTCCATGTTGCTACAAAAGTTGGGTATTCATCCTTTCTGATGGAGGCATAATACTCCATAGTGTATATGGACCACATCTTCCTTATCCATTCGTCCGTTGAAGGGCATCTTGGTTCTTTCCACAGTTTGGCAACCGTGGCCATTGCTGCTATGAACATATGGCCCTTCTTTTCACTATATCTGTATCTTTGGGGTAAATATCCAGTAGTGCAATTTCAGGGTCATAGGGAAGCTCTATTTTTAATTTCTTAAGGAATCTCCACACTGTTTTCCAAAGTGGCTGCACCAACTTGCATTCCCACCAACAGTGTAAGAAGGTTCCCCTTTTGGAAGATGATTTTTTGATATTTATTTATAGCTTTAAAATTATTAACATTCTGAAGATCCAGTAATTATATTTCTAGGGATTTACTTTAGGGAGTTAATTAGAAAGATACATAAAGATTCACATCAAAGAAACTCGGCTCAATGTTTTGCTTTTAATTGGAGAATTAAAATTTCTTTTTATTGGAAAATTGGAAACACTTAGATATCCAGTAATGTGGAAGGCTTGCAATAACTTGAAAATACAATTTTTCTCAGATTTTCATTATATTTAATAATCAACATCTTTCTGAGCATTTTCTTAGGTGAAGCACAATATTTGATGTACAAATCAACTTACACAGTATGATTTCAATTTTGCAAAAATAGAGGTGTTAGGATGAAACTCTAGAGTATCCAGTGGTCTTATATTTATTCTGAAGTTTCTTTCACTGCTATTCTTTTCTCACGACTTGGGCATCTCTAGTCATTGCTGCCAGGGTAAGGTTATTACTGTGGAAAAGTAGAGAGAATGAGCCAAGACAATGCTTAGTATATGCAATTCAAAATAGACTTCTATGCCAGAGGACAATGGGTGGTCAGACAGAGGGGCCCTTGGGCCTCCTGGAGGGAGGATGGAAGGATGTAGAATTTATGGAGAATGGGGAGAAAAATATCTCAGCTAGTGCCAGCAGAAGGAGGTTGGTGGCAGAGAATAAGAGAGAACCATGTGCTTTTCAGTGGATGCCCACTAGGAACCAACTGCCACTTTCTTTAATGCTGCGATATTGTCCAAGCCCCAGAAAACTCAGATGCCATTTCCAGATGAAGGATGGGGAGGGAGGAATTTTGAATGATTTCTGAATTTATACAGAGCTGACTTTTCTTCCCCCATAAGCTGGAAGGAAGTTTGGAAATAGGCGTAAACAGTCTTAGAAAAAAATAGTTAAGTATTTTTAACATGCCTTGGAACATAGACTTAGAAATTTGTACCTGATATCGATATCTATATCTTTATCTATACATATATTTATATGTATATTTGTTTATGTAGAGCTGCCTGCAGTCATATCAATATTTATATGCAAATCTTCAGAAAAAGCACTAAAAAGGGAAAGGGGAATATTAGCAGGATATCTTTATTGTGGGGTTATAGATGATTTTTATTTTCTTGCTTTTAATTTTTTGCATTTTCCAGAAATTCCACAATAAGCAAGTATGAAATTCATAATGTAAACATTATTTTATTATTATTATTACTTAATTAAATCATCAAAGGCTAATGATGCTTTACAAAATATATTTATAAATCATCATACGGACCAAGCATTTATTTTCTATTTCACAGAGCACTCTTCTCAAAGTGAAAAGACCAACAACCAAACAGAAAAATGGACAATGGTTATAAAAAGCAATTTAGAGAAGAGGGAACATAAATAGAATTTAAGCATATGAAACATTGCTTAATCTCATTCACGATAATAGAAATGCTATTTAAAATGATTGTCAGATCCTATCTTTCTTCTATCAGGTTGGCAAGATCACAAACTTTGATTATACATTTTGTCACTGAAGTTTGAGGAGAGAGGTCCTCTCACATATTGTTGATAGAAGTATAATTCTTACAACCTACGTAAAGGGTGGCTTGGCAAAATCCATTCAAATTACAAAGGAAAAAACTCAATGATCCTGCAGTTTCTTTTCCAATAGTTTATGGGAGGGATGTAGCAAGCTATGTGTAAGTGCACAGTACCATAATAGCAAAATATTTAAAATTAAATTTCATAACACCAAGACATTGGAAATATTAGAAACAGATGTCTTTCAACAGAGGACTGGTTAATTAAATTATCAATACAATACACCAGTATGAAGAACTTTTTTTTCCTTTTTTTTTTTAATTTATTTTCAGCGTAACAGTATTCATTGTTTTTGCACCACACCCAGTGCTCCATGCAATCCGTGCCCTCTCCAATACCCACCACCTGGTTCCCCCAACCTCCCACCCCCCGCCCCTTCAAACAATCTGAGGGTTTTGAAGAACTTTTTAATGTACCGATATGGAATGAGCTCTGAGATACCTTGTTCAGAGGGAAAAAAAAGTTAAAACCAGTGTGTTTATTATGCTACTATTACACCTGCTATCATATGTAATGAACAAAAATATATCTATATCTCTATGTTTTTCTTGTATATAAATAATATCAAATGTTTTTCAAATAATGTGGCCAATAAAGTGTTCTAAGTGCTTTATATAACTCACTTAATCTTGAGAACAGTCTATGAGATTGGCATTATTATTATAATAATTACCACTTTATAGATGCGGAAATTTAGGTGCAGAGGGGTGAAGTGAGACTGGGAGCAGCGGGGAGGGTGGGTGAGAGAACTGACTGGTGGACACAGAAATAGGAAAGACTTTACACTGCACACCTTTAGGTGCCTTTCTCATCACCTCTCATTACAAAGAAAGAGGGGCATCTGGGGGGGGCTCAGTCAATTAAGCATCCGACTCTTGATTTTAGCTCAGGTCATGAACTCAGGGTCCTGAAATTGAGCCTTGTGTTGGGCTCCATGCTCAGTGGGGAGGGAGTCTACTTGAGATTCTCTCCTTCTCCCTCTGCACTTTCTTTTTCTCTAAACGAAATAGCTGAATCTTTAAAAAAAAAAAAAAAAGAATGAAAAGGATGTGTCTGTCATGGACACCACTGTATTGTACTTACCCAGAGGTGTCCATCTGGGGATGTGGAGTGACAGAAGCAACAGAGGACCAGGCAACAGAACATCTGGGCTATGAATCTACTCTACCATTAGTCCTCTCTGGGCCTTGATATCAACTTCTGCAGAAAAAAAAAAGGCTTGGGGGTGATGGTCATGGTAGCTTTAAATTATATCAGTGTTTCCTAACCTATTTGAGAATTTGAGTCATTTGGGAAACTTAAAATGCATAGTTTCTCAGGCTCCCACGAACACATATTCTGATTTAACAGGACTGGGGTACAGATTGGGAGGTTCTGGATGTTTCAAAAGCCCCTGTCTCAAGCAATTCTGATGTAAAAATCAGATGTAGAGACCCTGGACCACATGATCTCTTCCTCCCAGTTCTATATTTCTTCAATGTGAAAAATTTCCCTCATTGTGAAATTTTCTTCAATGTGAAAATTTTTCGTGTCCCATGAAGTACTGAGCATCCTATCAGATCCAAGCAATCCATCATCTGCCCCCACCCTTCTCAGTCCATCCAGCCTGTCTTTAGAGGCTGTCTGTACCTCCAGGCCCATCAAATTAAAACAGAAGGGCGGTGTCTTCTCATCCGGATCTCCACTCCCACGGCCACCTCCACATCCCCACCTCCCACTCCACCCCCTTCTCCGGGTGCTGCCTTCCAAAGGCCGAGCCCTCGTCTCCAGTGTTGCCATTACCATTCCGAGAGTATGACAAGGTACCAAACCCGACGGAGAGATAGGAATTTTGACCCATCTCAGAATTTACACATGGACCTGAATCCTCTGTGGATTCTCGCCTCTTTCCAAAGGTATTTTTTCCTCTGGGATGGTACTCTGGTTGTCTCCTAGTCCGTCATTGTGCCAGATGGTCTGTAAAGTTGGAGCTCTTAAAAAAAGGACACAACATTCCCATTTTCATGTGTTGCTTTGAATATTCAATGATCTTTCTTCCTTTTCCCTTTCCCCTTCCTTCCCCTCGTTCCCCCCCATCTCCCCTCCATCTCTTTCCATCAAGGAAAGGGTTCCGATCACTGCTCTTCCCACCCACTTAGAGAGGAGTGTGAGTGTTCAGTTCACCAGGAGGTCCAGGGAGAACGTGGCTCCCACCTCTTGCAGTTTTATGATGAGTCTCTTTCCTTTTCACAAGGCAGTTATTAATCATGACTGATGCTCACTGACCAAGCCCAAACAATTGTGTGGCACACTCCACATACCACACACAGTCACAAATGTTTGCCTCGCTCACATGGGCTGGCACGAGGATGCCATTGCCGCCTGGGAAGAGCCACGGGACCAGACATTGTATTGCAGTCTCTGCCTGCCGCAGGAGGCACAGGACATCCAGCTTTTACTATTCTGATTTTCCAGAATGATCATTCATGATAAAAGGGCTGGGCTGCCCACTTGCCACCAGAGGAGATGAGGAAGGGGAGCACCCATTCCAGAGCCAGAGTCCATGGCTCTCTCCAACCTGGGCTAATGATGGCTGGCTAGTGTTTGGCCATGATGACAGGTCTTTCCGAAGATGTATTTTTACCCTCTGGACAAATAGCAGTTGGGACGAGTGGGGCTTTTTTATGAGTTGAGGTACTCAGAGCTGGAAAATAAACAGGCAGCTAATGAAACGTTCTTATGGAAACTGGCATAAATAATAACAAAGGAAACATCCTGTCCCCCGTGCCAACACCCTCGGGTGAGGGGCTATAAAAGCTGCTGGCCACCGGCCACCGTCAGACGTGGGGAACTCCGGCCGCGCTCCTGACCTACCACCTGACCCGTCGGGACCATGGGGTGCTGCCCAGGGGACTGCTTCACCTGCTGCCCTCAAGACCAAGACTGCTGTGAAGTGTGCTGCTGCCAGCCTGCCTGCTGCGGCTGCTGTGGTTCCTGCTGCGGCTGCTGTGGTCCCTGCTGCGGCTGCGGGGGCTCTAGCTGCGGAGGCTCTGGCTGCGGAGGCTGCGGGAGTGGCTGCTGCGGGAGTGGCTGCTGTGGCTCCGGCTGCGGCTCCGGCTGCGGGGGCTGTGGGAGCGGCTGCTGTGGGTCCAGCTGCTGCGGCTCGTCAGGGTGCTGCGGTCCTGTCTGCTGCCAGCCTACGCCTGTTTGCGAGACGAAGTGAAGCCCTCTGCCCCCTCCTCGGAGCTGGCCCTAGCAAAGCCTCCACCTGCTGCAGGTGGAGAGACTCCTTGTCTCCAGGACATTCCTGGCTCCCAAGACAGCGTCCTGCCTCCGTGTTATTTGTAGACGAGGGCTTGTTCTCCAATGCCTGCCCTGGTGTTTCAAGGTCCTGAGAGTAAGAGCCATATGCTGGTGAGAAAATGGAAACTGGGTCCCATCCAAAGTGATCCCCGAAGCTCGCAGGGTGACTCCCCATGGCTTTATTTTCATGGACTTAAATGTCTTGTCACTGGAAGGCATCCTCTTACTCAAGGTGGCTTTGGGACTGACCCTTCTCCTCAGCTTTCTGCTGCTTTTGAGTGCAAAAGTTTCTCTTTGTTAACTTCTTAATAAATTCGAGCTTGCTGGCATAACCAAATTAGTTCTCCCGCCTCTTCCTTGGCTCCCTCCTGGGCACTGGGCCAGGAAAATTTACTCTGGCATCCACAATTGGGTTTTTGAAATGTGGTTTGTGGACCAGAGTCTCCTTGCATTGGAATCACCTGGAGGCCAGTTAAAATGGAGATTCTGAAGCCCAGCCCCAGGGCTGTAGCTTGACAATTCTGTTTTAAATAAGAACCCCAGATGTAGACTAAAGCTTCCATGGTCTGCATGAGATTCACTTGGGGAGGTTTTAAAAAATACAGATTCTTAGGCTTCACCATTAGAGATTTTTTTAAAAAAAGATTTTACTTACTTATTTGACAGAGATCACATGTAGGCAGGGAGGCAGGCAGGGGGCGGGGTAAGCAGGCTCCCTGCTGAGCAGAAAGCCGGATGTGGGGCTCGATCCCAGAACCCTGGGATCATGACCTGAGCCGAAGGCAGAGGCTTAACCCACTGAGCCACCCAGGAGCCCCTAGAGATCTTATCCATTAGCTCCAGCGTGGCTGCCTTGGGAACCTGTATTTTTAAAATGCAGTAAATGGGAAAATGCTGAGGCTGGCCAAGATTTAATCTTGAGTAAGGGGCATAGCTTTCTTCAGCAGTATAGCTCTCCTAGAATGGTTCTGCAGGAGGGCTCCAGGTTTGGTCAGAACTTTCTGGCAAAGTTGGGAAGAGGCTTTGGTAAAACAAGCTTGATCTGGAATGGAAAAGGTTCCTCTGGCAGAATTTCGTGAACACAGTGCTTATGGATGTTATGGGAATTCCAGTTTTTTCTTCTAGCCAAATGCTTTGGCAAAGTCTCCTTCTTCTGGGTTAGGTTTTCTTGTCCTAAAACCAGCTGTATTTCTTCTCTTTGGGTCTCAGGGATGAGAGAGGTGAGTGTTCATCTGCCAGGTGGGGCCTAAACCACGTGTGCGTGAGTCTGGCTGGAAGGTGGAAATTTAGGGTAGTTGATTCAACTTCTGGCTGAACATGATTTTTTTAAAGAGTTTATTTATTTATTTGACAGAAATCACAAGTAGGCAGAGAGAGACGGGGAAGCAGGCTCCCTGCCGAGCAGAGAGCCCGATGCGGGGCTTGATTCCAGGACCCTGAGACCATGACCTGAGCCGAAGGCAGAGGCTTAACTCACTGCGCTGTCCAGGAGCCCCAAAAGTGTATTTTTTGATTATAAACATGGCAATGATCTCTAAAAACATGGAAAAAATACAGAAAAATATGAAGAAGGAATAACAGCCACCTGGATTCTCAACGTCAGCTTCAGCATCTATTACTGACATAGGTGTTTCCAGACTCCTTTCTAAGCATATTTACAAATAAAACTGGGATTATACTATTTTTATGTTTTTGCCTTTGAAATATTTGTTTTTTATAAGCCAACTGTATTAAGGTATACTTTGTATATAATAAAGTATACACAATTGCAAGGGACAGTTTGATGAGATTTGACAATTGTATATACTTAAGTAAACCACCACAGCACTCAAGATATAGAACTTGCCATCATCCCTCATATTCTCCAGTGCCCCATTTGCAGGCAATCCTCCCCATCTCTGATCCCAGCCTCAGTCAACCATCGATCTTTATATCACTATATTTCACCATTTCTAGAATCTCATGTAGATGAAATCATTCAGTGTGATCTCTTTTCCACTTAGGATAACATCATTTATATTCATCCTTGTGTCAGATATCAACAGTTCATCCTTTTTGTTAAATAATATTACATTGTATGAATAAAGTTCATGAAAAAATATTCATCTACTGATGGAAATTTGGGTTGTCTCCAGTTTTTGGCTATTATGAAGAAAGCTACTATGAACATTCATGTATAAATTTTTGAGTGGACATATATTTATTCCATGTAGCAGGGAAAGATTCTTTGAGATGACATTCCAGCATAACAGATGATGCCATGTTGAATTTCTCAGCTGAGAGAGTTTATAAGGGACTAGTGGGAGGAAGGCCCTCTCCATGTGAATTTCATTGCTGGCTTAGCTGCAGAAGAAAAAGTGCATGGAGAAGAACCGGAAAGGTGGAGATCAGGATCTTGGGGACTTCTTCTCTGCTTTGCCCTCTGCAAAGTTGTCCCAAAGTCTTCTTTTCCAACTGTCTTGAGAGCTACACCTCAAGGATTTCACTTCTTGTTCCTAATCTTCCACTTTCAACCACTAGCTCTATTGATTCTGGCTCTTTACAACCTCTCATATTGCTCCAGGCCCAAGGCACTGCCCAGTTCAGGTTGTCACTATGAAGATTTTGAGTAATTGCCCCAGACATCTAATGGTCTCCCTGGTTCCAGACTTGCCCTCCTTCTCCCATCTCTGCACCACAGCCAGAGAGGTCTTTCCAACGCAAACATGGCCAAGTCACTCCCCTGTTTAAAACACCCAGGTGTCAGTGTAAAATCTAACTACTTACCATGGTCCACAAGGCCTTTCATGCTTGAGTACCCAGTATCCTTCAAGTCCCATTGGTATTCCTTCCTGTCCCTTATATCTTTCATCCTGGCTATGGAACCATTTACTGTTCCCCAGTTGTATCATGCTTTTGAGAAGACTTTCTTAATTTCCTAAAAACCATGTTGGTGTTTCCCCTGGATGCGTCCATAGGACCCCAGGCATCCATCTGTCATAGCACTTGTACATATACTGTACCATAATTGCCTATGGATGGGTCTATTTCTCTCCTAAACTTGGACTCCTTGAGACAGGAATTGTGGCTCATTCTTTTTGTAACCCTTGCACAGAACCAAATGATGGTTGAATTGAATGAATGATTGAAAGAGAAATTGAGTGAGTGATTGCATAAATTAATGAATGAAGGCGGAGATGATGAATAGATGGCACAATGGTTCAGCTTTTCTAAAGGAGAACTACAATTGCATTGATGTTTAAAGCACATAGTGGAGACAGCCCTTTACTGAGCAAGGATGTCAGGCCTTGGTGTTCAGAAACCTAGGTTACATTTTTCATCTCATGTCTGCAGCATTGACATGCTTTGAGAAAGCATTTGTGTTCTTTGCTTTTGATCACAAAGTTTTTGCAAAAAATCTCTTGTCTTTCTTCTTTATCCTTTGGGTCTTGGAGGTGTCTTTGTTTTAAAAGCTATTAAAATCACCAAAATCAAGAGGGATTCTTGAGGGCCACTGAATGCTTGAGGTGTGGGTGGATGGAAGGAAAATAAGGAGGAGAAGCTGAGAGTCTGGGTCAAGTGCTTTCTGGGGCAGGGTTGTTCATAGAATAGGATGGAGAACAACACAGTGAGCTGAGCCTATGACATGTGGCTTTTATAAAGTCTTTTTTTGATAAAGTCCTTGATAAGAAAGGTCAGACTAGACAGAATGGTGAGGAGGAAGGAGGGCAGCCTAGATTAGGGGGCAAGTGGGGTGGGATTGTTAGCAAGTGACTCAAACTTTCTGATTCCTACCTTTTCTTTCCTCTTCTTTACCTATAATGGGGGGGGGAGAGATGAATTCCTATTTCAGAGGATTGCTGATGGTTTTAAATAAGACTGTTGCTGTAGGGGCTCCTGGGTGGCTCAGTGGGTTAAGCCTCTGCCTTCGGCTCAGGTCGATCTCAGAGTCCTGGGATCAAGCCCCGCATTGGGTTCTCTGCTCAGCGGGGAGCCTGCTTCTCCGTCTCTCTCTGTCTGCCTCTCTGCCTACTTGTGATCTCTCTGTCAAATAAATAAATAAAATCTTAAAAAAAAGACTATTGCTGTAAAGTGCAGTCATTTAAAATCCAGCCCAGACAGCCCCTCTCCCACAGAGCTCACCACTGCTCCCCTCTATTAATCCCTATATCTATTGTTGACTTTACCATAGCATTGCAATGAGTTTACCTGGATGCGTGTCTGCCCACCAGAGAGTGAGACCTGTGGGAATGGTGAGGGGGTCCTATTCATGTAGGCACATCTGTGTCCCCTAGAGAACCTGGTGCAGAGGACTAGAAGATGGATAAATTATAAGTTCCTTTCTGCTCATGATGCTCAGAAACACAGATAATCCAGTTTGAAGGCAATGATGCTTATTCGAAGATGACCTGTTGCTCCAAGGATTCCAAATTTAGCAAGTCAATAAACAAACGCTTCTTGATGGGTAGATAAACAACTTCCAGATCAACAAACCTTGATATAATAAGATGTTCCTCTGAAAACTGCTCAAACAGCAATGAGGAAAAGATGCAGAGGTTCCAAACAGCACATGTCAGTGAGGGGGGGTATAAAAGTGAGGGCCTCAGAGAGCTGTCCCAGTCAGGCAGTACCCCTCTCAGCACTCACAAGGGAGCAGAGGCACCTCCACCATGTCTGGAAACTGCTGTTCTAGGAAATGCCCGTCCGTGCCAGGCATCTCTCTCTGCTCCACTGAGGTGAGCTGTGGAGGGCCTGTCTGCTTGCCCAGTTCCTGCCGGAGCCAGACATGGCAACTGGTGACTTGTGAAGGTAGCTGTGGATCATCTAGCTGTGGCCCACAGTGTTGTCAGCCCTCTTGTTCTGTGAGCAGCTATGCCCAACCTGTGTGCTGTGAAGCCACCATTTGTGAGCCTGCCTGTGCTGTGAGCAGCTGTGCCCAACCTGTGTGTTGTGAAGCCACCATCTGTGAGCCCTCCTGTGCTTTGAGCAGCTGTGCCCAACCTGTGTGTTGTGAAGCCACCATCTGTGAGCCCTCCTGTGCCGGGAGCAGCTGTGCCCAGCCTGTGTGCTGTGAAGCTACCATCTGTGAGCCCGCCTGTGCCGTGAGCAGCTGTGCCCAACCTGTGTGTTGTGAAGCCACCATCTGTGAGCCCACCTGTGCTGTGAGCAGCTGTGCCCAGCCTGTGTGTTGTGAAGCCACCATCTGTGAGCCTGCCTGTGCCGTGAGCAGCTGTGCCCAGCCCGTGTGCTGTGAAGCCACCATTTGTGAGCCTTCTTGCTCAGTGAGCAGTTGCTGCCAACCTGTGTGCTCTGACGCCCCTTCCTGCCAGCCAGTTCTCTGTGTACCCGCTCCCTGCCAGTCCATCATATGCAAACCCAGCTGCTGCCAGCCAGTCATCTGTGAGCCCAGCTGCTGTTCAGCTGTCTGCACTGTGCCTAGTTCCTGCCAACCAGTGGTCTGTGAGCCCACCTGCTGTCAGCCAGTCTGCCCCACACCTAGCTGCTGTCCGTCTGTCTGCTCTGTGGCTAATAGCTGCCAGGCTGTCTGCTGTGACCCCAGTCCTTGTGAGCCATCTTGCTCAGAGCCCAGCAACTGCCAGCCGGCTCCTTGTGTGGCTCTGGTCTGTGAGCCTGTCTGTCTTCGCCCTATCTGCTGTGTTCCAAGCCCTTGTGAGCCACCTTGTGTCTCCAGCACTTGCCAAGAACCCTCTTGTTGCATCTCCAGCATCTGCCAATCCATCTGCTCTGAGCCCAGTCCTTGTTCAGCAAGTATCTGTGTGCCCAGTCCATGTCAACCTAACTGCTACATAGTTAAGCGTTGCCGGTCCATCTGCCGTGAGCCTATTTCCTGCCCATCTACCTCCTGCCAACCTCTCTGCTGCCGCCCGGGGTCTTCTGCATCTGCCATCTGCCAACCAACTTGCTCTCGGACTTTCTACATACCCAGCTCCTGCAAACCGCCTTGCACCCCTTCGGTTTCTTACCGCCCATTCTGTCGCCCAATCTGCTCTGGACCCATCACTTACAGGCAGCCGTATGTGACATCCATCTCCTATCGCCCTGCCTGCTACCGCCCATGCTACTCCATCCTGCGCCGTCCGGCCTGTGTCACTTCTCTCTCTTACCGTCCAATCTCCTCCCGTCTGCCTTGTGCTGACTTCTGTAAACGGGATTGCAAAAAATCTACTTCTAGCCAACCAGATTGCACTGACTCAACGTCCTGCAAGGCTGAGGTCTCACATGCCAGTCCCTGCCAACCCAGTGAGGCCAAACCCACCAGCCCAACCACCCGTGAGGCTGTAGCCAGCTCGCCAACTGCCACCAAGCCTGCTGACCACTGATCTGGCTTTACCCCACCGATTCCTGCAAAGCAAACCTCCAGCTAGAAAGAAACCTTAACTACCCTCCCCAAAGCTCACAATGACTTAAAAACTTTCTGCACCATCACTCGCCATCTTCTTACACTTCGAAGAACTCATCAGAAATGGCAGTCTCTTAATGGTCCAAATGAAGGTGACCTGGGCACCCGGTGAGGGGGTCATTCTGGGTTCCTGCCTGCTGCTGCCATCAACCTGAGAAGAGCTGCTTCACCACATCATCTTGAGTCTCTTTCCCAGCACTAAGTCTTTTGTCCTCATGCATGTGCTTCCTTGCTGGGTGTGCTCACGTTCCTTGGGGACTTTTTCCGTGAGAAAAAGATATTTAACTGTCCAATAAAGTGGCTAAGTTGAAGTGACGCGCTTTTCTCATTGCCCTGTTAATGTCATATTCTCATCAGCTAACTTGGTTTGCCTTTGAGAGCAACTTCATTTATTGATCTATCCAACAAGCTTTATTAGACAGCCATTAGCCAGGGACTGTGTTAGGCTGTAGGAACGAAAGGATGTATGTCTCAGTCCTTGTTCTCAGGGAGCTCACTATCAGGATGGGGGTGGGGGAGACAGGCAGACAGACGATTACTTCATTGCCTTGTGCTAAGTACTTGGAGAGAGGCAAACGTAGGGCAGTTTGAACCCAGCAGGCAGGGGGAGATATAGGGAAGAGTTCTTGGGGACTGTGATACCGAAGCTGAGTCTTTCAGCACAAATAAGAATTAACCAGTTAAAAACCCGAAAGGTGGCTGTTTTCCAGGCAGGGAAAACATAGAAATGAATGGGGCTGTGAGCACACCATTCATTATGGAGGCTTGGGCAGAGGTGTGCTTAGAGGCAGGTGAGCTCTGAGGTCAGCTAAGTAGACAGTGACCTGCCTTGTCAGGCCTTGTAAGTTAGACAGAGACATTTTAGTTTGGTGCAGGGCTGACATGAAGGCATTTCGGGGCCATATGCTGGGCAGTGACATGAAGAGCACCTGGTTTTGGTATGTCCCTCTGTCCTTGGTCTAGAGAACTGAGTGAAGGAACATGGACTTGGATGTAAGGAGAATAAGGAGCAAGCCAATGGCTTTGGGGTTCACACTGGGATAAAAACAAGTGGGAGGGCACCCTTACAATAAGGCGGATAACCTGGATTTCTTGTGCTGTGAGCCCATTTCCTACCCATCTACCTCCTGCCAATCTCTCTGCTGCCACCTAGGGTCTTCTGCATCTGCCTTCTGCCAACCAACTTGCACTCAGACTTTCTACATACCCAGCCTGGGCAAAACGCCTTGGACTTTATGTTCTCTTAGTCTCTGCAAGGCACCTCCTTGTGTAAACTCCATTCATACTTCCTTCCAATCTTAAGGACTGAGTCTCTTCAAAGTAGTCACTTAGTGCATGGCATAAAGGGCTATCCCTAGGCCTCAAGGTGCGGTGAGGGTGGACCAGGGCTTCTCAGCTTCAGTGTTATTGACATTTTGGGCTGAATAGTTCTTTGTCGTGGGGACCATCACTTTGTTGTGGGGACTCATCCCCTGAGTGTGATGATCAACAATGTCTCCAGACATTAGCAAATATCCCTGGGGATAGGGGACAAACTTGCCCCTGTTTGAGAACCACTGGGTTATACAGTGGCAGAGGGAGAAACTCAAAGGTGGAGCTTAACCAGTACATTGGTGTCAGGGTTACTGTCTCATCAGGCCATTGAGATTTGTCTCTATCTCCTAAGAGAGTCCAGGGGAGTTGGCCAGGGTTTTAAATCTCTGTTCTGGCTCCTGGGTGGCTCAGTGGGTTAAGTCTCTGCCTTCAGCTCAGGTCATGATCTCAGGGTCCTGGGATCAAGTCCCGCATCGGGCTCTCTGCTCAGCAGGGAACCTGCTTCCCTCTCACTCTCTGCCTGCCTCTCTGCCTACTTGTAATTTCTCTCTCTGTGTGTCAAATAAATAAATAAAATCTCTAAAAAAAAATCTCTGTCCCAAGCACAGTCCTAGTGATTCATGTGAATCATAGCAATTCCGTGAAGTAAGATTTCTTTCCCTCTGTTTTATAAGATGAATACGAGCAACAATCCAAGGGCCCAAAAACAGAGACAAGAAAATTGTGGTATAGTCACACAATAAATACAATACTGCAGTGAAAACAACTGGACAGGGATGCCTGGGTGGTGCAGTCAGTTAAGCCTCTGCCTTTGGCTCAGGTCATGATTTCAGCGTCCTGGGATCAAGTCCTGCATTGGGCTCCTTGCTCAGCAGGGAGCCAGCTTCTTCCACTGCCTGCTGCTCCCCGGCTTGTGCTCTCTACCTCTGACAAATAAATAAAATCTTAAAAAAACCAACACCCCCACCGCCAAAAAAACCCCTACAACTGGACAATAGCCATATGCAAAACAAGGGTGAACCTGACCAGAATAGAGGTGATACAAACAAGCTTCAAGACCACATATATGTTTAAACCTCAAAACAACACTCATACATATATGCATATACATATGTATGAGTATACACACATGTACACATACGTACACACACATACAAATGTATACCTAACATATATTCACAAGGGAATGCTAAACACAGAATTCAGGATAGCCAAAGGGAGTGAGAAACATACAAAAGTAACATACCAGTTAAATATATATAACATGCAGAACATAGGGTTCTGTCCAAAGTTTGTGTTTTTTATGCATCATGATTCTTGATGTGATCACAACAGTCCTTGGTGGTATACCAGATGTCTTTAGTGCCTTGAGCCACAGTAAAATGAAAGATGTCCTTCTTTTTTTCATCTTTATTGAGGCTTCATTGACAAAACTGTAAGGTACTTGAAGTGTACATGATGATGATTTCATATACATAATATATCATGAAAAGATTCCTCCTGTCTAATTAACACATCCATCAAATCATATTTTTGGGAGGGAAGCATGTGAGAACATTTAAGTTCTCTTAGCAGATTTCAGTTATGCACTACAGTGTTATTAGCTAGAGTGACTATGTTATATATAAGATCCCCATATGAAACAAGTTGGGATTGGGAGGGAGACAAACCATAAGTGACTCTTAATCTCACAAAACAAACTGAGGGTTGATGGGGGGAGGGAGGTTGGGAGAGGGGGTGTGGTGTTATGGACATTGGGGAGGGTATGTGCTATGGTGAGTGCTGTGAAATGTGTAAACCTGGCGATTCACAGACCTGTACCCCTGGGGATAAAAATATATTATATGTTTAAAAAAAATAAATAAATTAAATTAAATTAAAAAAAAAAGATCCCCATACTATACTCATCTTATAGCTAAAAGTTTGTACCACTTTTTTTTGTTTCTAGGTGATTTTTAAAAAAAATTTATTTATTATTTTTTAAATTTCTTTTCAGTGTTCCAGAATTCATTGTTTATATACCACACCCAGTGCTCCATGCAATACGTGCCCTCCATAATACCCACCACCAGGCTCACCCAACCTCCCACCCCCCCTCCCCTCCAAAACCCTCAGATTGTTTCCCAGAGTCCACAGTCTCTCATAGTTCATCTCCCCCTCCAATTTCCCCCAACTCCCTTCTCTTCTCCAGCTCCCCATGTCCTCCATGTTATTTCTTATGCTCCACAAATAAGTGAAACCGTATGATAATTGACTCTTTCTGCTTGACTTATTTCACTCAGCATACCATTTACCAACCACTTGAGAAGTTTCTTTAGAAGGAAGAAAGGCAAGGACAAAATCAGACAAAAATGGGTGTAAAAATGGGTTGTTTTAAGATGGGATTGGGAGGGAGACAAACCACAAAAGACTCTTAATCTCACAAAACAAACTGAGGGTTGCTGGGGGGAGGGAGATAGGGAGCAGGTGGGTAGGTTATGGACATTGGGGTGGGTATGTGCTATGGGGAGTGCTGTGAAGTGTGTAAGCCTGATGATTCACAGGCCTGTACCCCTGGGGCAAATAATACATGATATGTTAATTTAAAAAACGGGCTGTTTAAAAAACAATAAAAGTGGTAGGTATGAGCATGGGAATTGATACCTTTTCCAGGTTGAGGTTGACATTGTTTCTCAAATATATTCATGTTCCCATTATGACTAACCTATTTGGTGAGACCAAAATATTTCTTCTGAAAGTTGAGAGCTTTGGGATGTAGATAGGAATAAAACAGAGTGCAGTGATCCCTGCAGTTTGCAAGGTGCCAAAATGACTAGTGATGAGTTGGACGGCAAAAGAAATGGTGCTGTAACGCAAAAAGCAATGGTAGAAAATAAAAGGCATTTGAATGACAAGGGTGAAGATTTCCCAGGCATCATTCTGATCAGAAAAAATTTTCTTCCTTTTAAAATGAGGGTAAGGAAGAGGGTGCCAAGGAGAAGGTACTCTTTAGCTGGTACTTTGAAAAGTACCTTCCAGAATTTCCAACATTTTTAGTAATTGTGAGGCAGTTAATAAAAATAAAAATAACCTGAGCACCACCAGTGTGGTTAATTGATAAACTCTCAGTTTATCTTTGAATACTTGGGTAATGAACTAACACATCCCACAGAGTGAGTTAGTAGCCAGAAAATGGCACTAGCCCTATTGGGATCCCAAGGCCATGATCTTTCTATTCTGTTGTGAATCTCTGGTGTGAACTGGATCAGACATGGACCAGTGTGGGATGCTGAAGATGGCTGGTGACACAGAGCCGGGATGAGCCTAGAGAAAGAGGGGAAGAATTAGGACAACCAATGCCTCATAAGTCCCTCTTGGAAGAGGGTGATTTAACACTAAAACTATTTTGCAGTGATGTCCTTATATAGCTACTGGTTGTTGTAGTTTTATATTTATAGAATTTATATGTTGTGAACTCCATAATATGATTTAATCCTTGGCAAAATATTTTGTAGTTATTAAAATTTCCAGATTAAAAGATTGTCTTTGGGTGTATGGATAAGTAGAGGTAAGAACTCATACTGGTTTAATCTAGTCACTGGAGTGGATGAATGGTCCCTAGCATAG